ATTATAATACTATAATTTAATCGCAATTTGAACAGGATATATATAAATGTGTATCAATAATCAAAATAAAACTCCCAACGATCCGAGTCGAAATTTTCGTTCTACATTAATCCTGCAAATTCAATCAATTTTTATTTTACAATCAATTTTATTTATTTTACCTCAGTGATATATTATCGTTTACTCCATTGGTTTTCGTATTAAAGAAGCTCGAAAAAGGCATCTATTCAATATGCGATTATGTTCTATCTATACTTCTAATTTTTATTCTCAATTTCAGTTAGCAAAATATTAATTATGTAATTTGTATGTAAGTATGTAAGGTAAGCAGATATTAAATATTCAATAAAGATTAAAGGATAAATGGATAAATATAATAAATATAGCAACGGATATTTTTATTCTTTTAATCTCTCTCTTTCTGACGTTGAAAATCTCAATAGAATCAGCTTTTAAAGGAACTGATAAAGAAGAAAGTACAATGACAAGGAGAGATATCACAGTTACGTGTCCAATGATGCTGTCTTGACTTGCAGAAACTTAAATTTGGATTCCATACATTAACAATTTAATAAGTAAAAATGAAAATTCATTAGAAGATGCAAAACAAAATCGAGCTCGAGCTTCGAACTGTATCATATGCTCGGACGCAAACATCAATACTTGCGAGATTTACATTAAATTCGAAGGCCGGTAATCATAGTTATGTATTATGTAGAATCTTTGATTGAAAGCATAATTAATTGTAGATTCGTACTCGTCGGTCCATTATTCGGCTGTTTAGATCAATGTTTCCCGTGTAAAATACATAACATTGCAATAATACATATACAGATCAATAAATTGTAGAGATCATGAGAAATGTATTAACTGTCCAAGAAAAGCACTACAAGTACCGGCCTAAATTTCGACTCGGCCATTACTTACTTTTGGTAAGATCGCTTAACGTCCGTTAAAAACAGAAAATGTAACAAAGTGTTTGACATACCTGGAAATATATGATGTATCGCTGGCCGCGTCCCGGAGTTCTGCGTCCTCCATCCTGCTGCCCCATCCGGTATCCTGGTTGCTTCGTCGTGGCATTGACACTGACACTCGCGTAAGTACGACCCGATCAAATGCACACGTGCTAAAAACGCGGTGCCGACGAAAACGTTTAATTAAAATCGACATTTTAATAATCCGCGGCGAACGAGAGATAACGCACCAGTCCGTGGTACGCGCGTCGCTCGTCGGCTCGCGACATAATGAGAAAGACGCGGCACACGAGAGCACGTTTGATGATTCCGAAGGTTACGCTTGTTTTGATTACCGTTATCACTCGGCGCTCAGCAGTCGATGGGAGGGGATGAGCTCGCATTTTTTGCCGATTGTTTTGGTCTCAACTCTCGCGCGTTGTTATGTTACATCGTTATGCGAAACATTTCGTCGGTTCCTGAAATTTTGAAATCGGATCCTGAACGATATCGCGTTAATATACGTATTTTTCCAGTCACCATCGCATCTACAAAAGCGTCAGCATCATGAAGATCACACAGTCAGGATACAGGATGTTGCGTTGGAAGGCCAAGACGGAGGACGTCGGAAAACGCGGACGGCGTGATAGATCATACATATTTCCAAATGTATAAATATATATTAAATATTCGTGCATATTCTCAACGCCAATGGAAAAGAATAATAAAGAGATTATGAGAAAATAAAATTTGTCTTGCTTATACACGTTAATCAGATTTTACTAAACATATTCTATCTGCAGTTAAGTGATACGATTAACGCATTGCTTATTAAAATTGAGAATAGAGATTAAATAATATTAAAATAATGGAATATTAAATAATTTTAAAACGAGTTCTTTTCTTAGACAATTCAACGTAAGAGGAAAAAGTTTTTAAATAACAATAATTTGTAACATCATGATGAGACAATACTCTCCCGAATCAAATAGATTCGGATAATATGGAATGAAAATCTTGACTGGAATAACCATCTCAAGAAGAAGATTGTCAGAGGATAGTAACACGCTTAATATTCCGCGCTTCTATTTCGGTAATCGGTATTTGAAGTTTGATGAGACCTGAGAGGTCAGTACAGGATGAAAAATTAGCCTCGGGAATACGTTTCTACGTCTCGACTGTTTTCTATAAAACTATAATAATGAAGATATCTCAATGTGAAGCAGTGCAATTATTATACATTAGAAAAAAGAAAATAGCGCTTATTTCGCGCCTATTTATTCCCTTATAAGTTAGCGAATAAACAGGCTGTGCTCAACGAGCGCAATTGGTGATTTACATCGGTCGCGGGGGCAAAACAAAATGGGAAACTTTCCGTCGATGCGGGTAAACATCGGCTTTATACACGCCGAATGGTCTTCAAAAATTGAGAGTTTTCCGCGCAGCATAACGATTTACATGTTGGGATTGTAACGGCAAACTACCGTTGCAATCGCCGCGGTTTACGCCGTTACGCGGCGCAGTTTCACGGTTGTAATCGAAATGGTTGCACCTCGGGGAATCGGTGCGGTTTTCGCCGGGCTGTTTGTACGATCTTCCGCACGGGCGTATTATGCGCCCGCCAAAAACCACAGACGACGAACTTTGGATCCGACCATGATTAAACCAGTATTAAACCCGAAGCTGCGGAAGCGGGCACGGGCGACGAAGTGCGCGTAACAACAAACTTCGACTATGAACTCCGCGAATCTGCCAAGTGCATTTGCGCGATCTGCCAGAATCGTCGCTCGGCGCGGGTTTCCACTAGATCATCGGTCGCCATTAACGCCGTTTCAACTATCGAGCGCTGTCAAAAGCCACGGTATCTTACTCCGCGAAGTTTTCTTCCTTTCTTTCCTTTTCTTCTTCGCAGAATCGTAAGGTCGAGCCTGTTACGAATCGGCGCAATTTTCTCAATGTCAAGCCAAACGCGCTAAGCGGGTTATCTCTCTTCTGTTGTCACCGGTGGAAAGCGAGATTTAGCGCTGTGCCGCCGCTTTGTTGACGAAATACTCTCGCCGCGGATAATTATTGGTAGAAATGTTAAATCGCGCATCGTCGACTCGCCGCGTTTCAAATTTGCATATTGTTCATCTTCGAGCGGCCGAGAGAATTAACTATATCGGCGAATTTGCAGCCAGACGGATTTTCCATGGCGGAATAGGCGGAAACACCGGTATTCATCGGTCAACTCGGTGGGGGATCGATCGCGATCGACCCAACGAGAGTTAGCCGCGCTATCCCGCGGGAGCGGCCGGGGTCAACCTGTAAATCCGAACGCAATGAAGACCGCGAAATTTACGGGCGATACGTGTAAGCACGTTTCGCATAAAGTTGTCTCGCTAGAATTTCCCGGATGACAGATTTTCGCAACCGCGTAGAAATGTTTAAAGTTGAGTTGGAGGAACACGTCCGGGCGTCTGGTCAAAAGCGCTTCCGCAAGAGATACATGTCTCTTGCGGAGAGAAATCGTTATTACCTGTACACATTTGTGTACAGAAGTGATTGAATTATTTACCGTCGTTTGTAGTCAACTAGTTACGCCTCTGAATTATTGAAGACTATTATAGGCAGCGTGTGGGCCACGACGAATTGTCAATATTATTGGTGACAATCGGATTTTCAATCCCGCCGATCCCTTACACGAGTTTTGCGATTAACAATTACTTGAACAGATTGCACATTTTTTCTAGCAGTACTTTTCAGTTCCTGCAGCTCATCTCGTCCATTTCATAATTTATTCTTTTCTTTCTCTCTCCCTTCTCCTTTAACTCGCCGACGAAACGCATAAATAAAAACCTTCGTGATCTTCGTTTCCTTCGCGTTTTCTCTCGTTTTCTTTGCTGTGTCGAAACATAAGCGACAAAGGAAATGCATCCGGAAATTCTGCGTTATGTCTGGATGACAGCGGGCACTTGAAAAAATGTCCTCTCAATTTTTCCATTTCTACGGTCAATCTCGCTTCAACGGTGAGATATTAAACGTTAGGGTGGAGGCTGGAAATTGATCTCGCGCGCTTTTCGTTAATCAAAGCGCGGGAAACTCACGTTACGTCCGAGTATTAATTCGGAACGGGCAATAAGTCTCACCGCAAACGGGTCGAGTTAGATCTTCACCATCCAATGACATTCCGGGACGTTTAAAATCCATTAGGGTCAGGACGGATTAAGAGAAAGTGGCCAGAGTCCATTTAGCGTGTGCGTTTAATCGATTATTGATTATTCGAATAACTGCGGCGAGCAGTGACTTACTCCAGCGCTCACTCTCAGCGTGCCCTCCGTTCGCTTTCTGTTCCTTCCCGTCGATCCCTTCTTACAAGGCACGTAATAAAAGTATATTGCAATTTTGATTCGCTCGTATCTCTTATATCCGGAATAGAGTCGCGGAATCTAGATCGAAATTCGCCGAGATTTCATTTCTATTCCGGACACGAATTCATAAAAAAGGAAACATACTTCTTGTGAAATCAAAGTTTGTGGAGATCTCGATGTGAGTCAAACACGTGCCAAGTGAAGTGTTACATAAAAATACATTTTCTCTCCCCCCGTGCAATTTTTCACACGGCGTCGCGCGTCACGTACTTTGTACTTTTTATCTCTTACAATCATCGAGGATCTTATCAAGCTTATCAATTGTAATGTTCAGAAAATTGACAAAAATTACATCTCTCAGATGAACGTGTCACCGTGCAGCACTTCACGTCAAAGGCCATCCGACTCGGCTAACTGTTAATTAACGAGAGGAAAGTTTTCGAGATATCTCGAGCTCGCGCAGAGGAGAACAGGAGAAACGCGAAAGGAGAGAAGAGGGGACGAGGGGAGGACGTGGGAGAGAAGAGCCGGTTAATACCTTCGAAACTCTACTAACAAATTGCGGAAACGAGCTCGGATTACCATCGAGCATCGTCGATTTTCCCGAAACTTGGCGAACGACGCACCACCTAATCGAAGTCGCTATCAGGGGAGGGGGGGGGGGTCTCAGACAGAAATATATTGAATTTATTCGTTCGTTAAACAAAACAATGTGTACTATTATTTTTTTTTCCAAAGTACAGGAATACAACATTTGTATATTTGTGTATTCGAACGATACTAGATTACTCGTATGTATATAACAAATCGGTGTGAAAGTATAAAATATTAATATTATATTCTAAGCTGTATCGCGTCCACACTCACGAGACGAGTATGCATGAAATACAATGAGACAAACAAAACTTTACTGGCAACTTTACGCGAGCGTCATCTTTCTTACCCTTCCTTTTCTCTCTTTCCCTCTTCTCTATCTGTTTTTCAGATTTCAATTCTTCGAGACATTTAATACTTAAGAAGCACAGTACGACCTATCTTAGCGTACGACATATCCAAAGCAATTATTTTCGTCAAGACGACCGGAGGAGCATGTCTCGGTTTTCAACGGTGGAACGCATCTTTTAAAGTCTCTTCTCGCTCTCGTAAATACACGATTCACAAACGTTTCATCGCAGTGTTCGTTATTTTAGCCACTTAATAACGAAGCGAAAATCACTCGCCCTTATTCGCGTTCCATTAAGACGAATCATCCTTGTCCGATGAAATAAGATTGACGAAAATATCTCTCACCGAGAACGCACACGCGCATTCACATTTCGCACTTAACTGTATACTCCTATGTACATTATATGCGCGTATTACTTACTTAATAAAACATAAAGAGCCGCGCGAACTACCTTTTTCTCTCCTCACGGAAAAAGATACTCCGCCTCGTCGGTGCTCCGTAGCATCATGGCGAGCTCGTACTGAAGACTCCGCGGAATGTCGAGGAGAAAAGCCTGTCGATCGTACCTGAGACACTTCTTGATGGCCCTCAGCGATAGCTCTCGCAGAGTGCACACCGCCAGCGTGATGTACACGTTAGTCCTCTGAACTCTTAGCGGCAGCCCATCATTGCTCAGTCTGTTATTCACGTCGTGATATTTGAACCACGGCTCGGGGAAGAAAACTTGCTTCCGATTCACCCTGTACCTGTGTTCCCCCCTTCGTATTATTTCTCTGGCTGAATCGACCTATCGAAGTGAACACTTCGAGAGATAGGTTCCAAACGCGAATAAAGTGGCGCGCATGAGAGGATCGAAAATGGACAAGTATTTGTTATCGGCAAGATTTTGAACGGGGAAACTAGTTGGGACGAGCACAGCTCGAACGAAGATACATTTACCATCCCCGGTGGCAAACGCGTTTCGTTGTATCGGCAGCAACTTTTCATATTCTAACAGCAATTTTTCACTTAACGATACGGCCATTTCTCATTTTCCGATAGCAAACTATCGTTCTTGTTGTAAAAAATATCTCCGGCTCTCTCTCTCTCTCTCTCTCTCTCTCTCTCTCTCTCTCTCTCTCTCTCTCTCTCTCTCTCTTTCACTCTCTTTCCTACGTCTCTTATCAAAGTAATTTGTTCATTTGTGCCTACCTGCATCCCGTCTCCTTGTCGACGAAAATCCACGGGTGAGTCGCAAATGTATTTATGTCTATGTAATCTCCAGGTGACAGGTCGCCATAATTAACCGCGTTCCCTTGATAATCGATCCAGTATAATCTAACCGGGCGGAACGTTTGATTAATAAATTTCACGAACGACCGGTGCTGATTGCTGATCGACCGCAGCAGCGACTCTTGATCCTCATCCATTTTGCAATTTACTTGTGTCTCTTTCTCCTCTTCTTATTGCCGTAATGTATAGTCTCTTTCTCTCTCTCTCTCTCTCTCTCTCTCTCTCTCTCTCTCTCTCTTTCTTTCTCCCGAAGCCCTTACCGAAATCCTGCCTCCTTCTCTCGCCTCGAAAACTGAAATTAAACATCACGAGAGGAAAGTTAATTAAGCGATATTATGTGCTCAATAAATACAAAAGTTTTATCTTAATCTTTTTCTTTGCGTTAGATATTGAAATTGATCCTCTCTTTGCTTTTTATTTCAAACAGACCGGTCTCGTCAAGTATCGAAACCGACGTCAGTCGGTCCGGCAAAGTGAATTTTCTTAATCGCCGCATTCCGCATTTCTCGAAATCGAAAAACCGACGTATTGGTGACCAATAATCTCCTCAAAAGCCCCGATATGCCTTTCAACATTTCCGACAAACTGGATTGAACCACGGAGAGATATGGAAAACACAAAATTCGGTTTGTCGCGGGTAAACAAGCCTATCTATGAAAATCGATTTATCAAGCACGGCTGCATCGCTTGAATTTGAGGAACGAGAGAAAGAGGCGGGACGGAAAATCGATTGTATCGCAAGAATTCACGTGGCAGACCTAGCAAACATCGATTCCGCTGAAATACACCATGACGATTCGCGCAGCGTTAAAAACGCTTGACGAACTTTTATTACGGACAAAAAATATCACGATAACCGTCCGCTAAAGCATGTGATTCGGTTAATTTAACGAACGATACAATTTGAATGAATAACGAACGAATAAGCGCGCGCGCTCACGCAAACGTTGATTACAGCAGAAATATCTTGTTTACACTTTCAAAGACGAATATTTGCCCTGCGATATTCGTCGCGGGTTATCACCCTTGCCACCCCCTTACACCGTTTTCACGCAGAAACGGAGAGCAGCGAAATAAATTCGTAATAATAACATCGCAAATCGGATTACAACTAACGTCAATTAAATCCGATTAGAGAGACGAATGCGCTGGAACTAATTAGTTGCGTGAATGATTAGCTGCGACAACGAGAGCACGGCGCCCGCGCAAGGGATGGAATCGAGTAAAGCGTTTGCGATTTCAGCGGAAGCGAGGAGGAGAGGAGAAGGAGAAAGCGACGCGTTTTCCAGGATTGTAAACAGACGAATACAGTCCCCCTCCCCGCCTGTAACTTGCGTTTCCGTCCTGCTTTGCAGCGCCGAGCAGTCCGTTAGAGACGATCCGCTCGATGGCTTATAAAATAGCGAAACAACGTTGGCGAACGACGAAACTCCATTACGGCTTTTTGCCGTAATGGAGGAACAACGCGCGCGGCGAATACGCGGTCGCGTACAAGCGGAATTTCCGCGATACGATATGCACGAACTTCTGTACGCGATTGTCCGTTTTCGTAGCGCAACCGAAATCCGACCCGATTGGACGGAACCTTAAAAGCGCTAATCAATGACGATTTACTCCCTATCCGCTGTAAAGAGATTTGCCCGAGTCGCCGTGCGACTATAATCGTCTCATTCGCGTGAGTACAATAGCGACTCGCTCGTCCCGTCGGATTATCCGCCGAGACTTTCACATTTTTCGAAATGACGCTTTCCACTCGGCCCGATTTTATTAGACAACGCTTCGCGAGATTCGATGTAATATCTCGCATGACTTGCCAGCGACACAAGCGTCAATATAATAGCGCATACAGCGTGTTCGTCAAGTTAAATAACAAAGAACTGTCGACATAGCGTCGGAAAAAGAGAAAAAAATCATTTTCATTCGGCCGACTTTGGCGAATCTATTCGCGATTCGGAAGGTGATGGGACGCAGTCAGAATTAGTGACGACAGAGGGAAAGCAAGATTTACGTCTCCCGGAGTTCCGGCAATAAGAAGTTATTCCGTATATCTTGCGAGATTTATCGTGACGACTCTTTCTCGCGGGATACGAAGTTTCGGCGGAAGTTTCAACCGCGTCTGAATTCGAAAATTACGCCTGTATATCATAAGAGTAATCGCATTTTATCATCTCGCCGAATCAATCCCGTTCTCGTGAATAAATAACGGTGATAAATTTTATCGCTAATCAGCGACACGATAATGCAAACTTACGCTGCACCCAGCGCGCGATCGATCTTTCCTTAATTAAAACACCGAAAATTTGCCGATAACTTTCTACGATGAAAATTTTACGCGTTCTAGATTATCGAAACATAAATATAACGGGAAGTTATATTCAGAGTTAACTTGCTCCGGCTGTCTGGCATTTAATTTATTAAATCATAAATGATGTTATCTCAGAGGTCGCGCGAGTGGAAATAAGGTGACACTGCGGAATTCTTCATCGAGACACGTTTCCCGGATCGAATTTATATTTTATACCGGGCACGCGCGCGGATCAGCCGCAAAAATTTCGTAACGGCTAAATTACCCCGCCGGGAGGAATATTTCCGCGAGCGAAACCCTTGGCGTGCGCAGCGTTGCGAAATTTTCCGGGGACTTTCAAAACGAAAATGGCCTTCGTGTCGGAACTCGATCTTGTCGTCAAACATAGCGTAAAAGCGTAAAAAAATATACGACCGGCCGAAAGCGTTACATTAATTCGCATTTTTGGTAACGGACCTTGAGGTTTTCCTCGTTCCCGGTATCACACGCGTGCCTCTCTCTCTCTCTCTCTCTCTCTCTCTCTCTCTCTCTCTCTCTCTCTCTCTCTCTCTCTCTATCTCCTCCCTTTTTTGTAGCCTTTGAAAATATTTCACGGCCGAAAAAAATGGACAGGACCGTCGCTTTGACCAACTCCAGTTAACTTAAAAATATAATAAACGGCAAGCGCTTCGCGCCTACATGACAAATTGGACAAGTTGCGAAATTGCTCGAAAATTGGCTTTTACCGTGAAAAACGGTCTCTATCGGGTATCCTCGCCAACATTCGATCTACGAAGCGGCTACGGTGGCATTTTAAACCAGCAATTAAAAATGCATTAAAGCTTTGTGCAATAATCCACCTGTTTTTTTATACATTTCGCGGCTATATAAGAAAGTGACGAAGGAGCATTATAGTTGATCACCCATTTTTTGTAGCTTAGTCCTTCCCTAGTTATACTGATGGATTAGAGCCTCTTAAAAAGCTGATAAGGATTGAATGGAGCGGCGACGGCGACTCTCGCAGCATCTAATTCACGATCACAATTGTCACGGTTTGCGCGATAATTTATATGCGCGCGGAAATGACAATAAAAAGTTCGAAATTTATGAATATTTCGTGTCAAGCTTAGCGCACGTGATATACCGTACTCTCCCTTTCACACGAACGGATTTTATTTAACTGAATTAATTACGTTTGTTAATAATGAAGGAAAAAAGTGAAAGGGTAGAATTATGCAATTCACGTTCCTATAAAAAATTCGTTTTTATCAACAATGGTAAAATTATAATAGATGACTGACATATAAACGTACGTTTAACAATTTATATCTTTTATTAATTTATATAATTCATTTATTATTAACATTACAATATATACGATGAAGATATACAAAATAAGAGTAGCTTCTCGTTTTATACGATCCACAGATACATGAATATTCCACTGTCGAAGGGAAAAAAATTCGGGAGTCCGGAAGGGCTCCAAATCTAGAGTCCTTTTCTACGCTCCATCATATTATTTCTTCAATTTCTTCCCCGTAATAACGTAATCTTAAATTCATTCTCTGAGTTTTTCGACAACCGCGGAATTAATCACGCACTCGAGTTATTCCGACGTGAAGGGATGATGGATCGACAAGCGCGGGAAAAAACGCATTACTAATGCAGGGCTGACTTTTTCAACCATGCAGCATCCGGTCGTGACGACAATTAGAAAGTACGTAGGCGAGAAATCGAGCTGCGCGATTTCGACCTCTCGTGCCGGCCGGAGAGTGAGAGGGGAAAACAGAAAGCGAGAGAGAGAGAGAGAGAGAGAGAGAGAGAGAGAGAGAGATTGCTGGAATAGGCGGAAACCTCGCCGTTTGTAATTTGCCCGGTAATTTGTAACTAATTCCGCAAAATCGCCACGAGGAGGAAGAGATGCCGCAACGTTCTGAGCGACGCGTTCTCCCGTTTAACGAAACCCTGTTTACCATCGTGGAAACGATCATTGCACGTTACAACGCGCTAAATAAACGGTCGAATTGGTGTGTTCGAAACAAGCTAACAATTAGGACGCCTTGGGAGAGAAGCATAATTATATACAGCGTTTACGTTATATACCTCACGTTCATGTACATACCCGTCGTCGTCGAGTTGACGCGTTGGTTTATGCTAATTTCCCCCGGCTGTTGAAAATATAAATTTGTCAAAAAAGTTTACGCGACTAACGATTGCATTGTACGAACTCATTAGCTGTGAAATTGTGCGGCGATATTTGGCTCTCTCGAATTTTAATCAAGCGAAATGAATCAGAGATCGACCGGCGTATGGAACGAGACGAAAATTCGTGCAAAATCGGTCGACGATTAAAATCGTGAATTTTTTGGTCAAAGAGAAGAGTGAGGCAAGCGCCGCTCGATATATCTATTTGCGCCGAAGCGAGCCTGATAGATATCCCGTCAAATATGGCTATATATATGTATATATATATATATATATATATATACACACACACATATACCTCTCTCTCTCTCTCTCTCTCTCTCTCTCTCTCTCTCTCTCTCTCTCTCTCTCTCTCTCTCTCTCTCTCTCTCTCTCTCTCTCTCTCTCTTCCCCTCCCTCTCTCTCTTTCTCTCTCTGACGAGCTAACACGGAAGATGGAGCGATATCCAATAAGCTCGCGGATCCTGTCTGGCAACTCGGCCGTCCGGCACGAAAAACAATAAGATACATCTCGTCCTCTTTATGAAGCGGGAAGAACGATTGTTGTAAAACATCCAGCGAGGAAGCACGTATAGATATCGCAGGTCGCTCGTAAATCCCGATGACGATTTACGAACGTGTTGTAATTGCAGGGTAAAAATCGGAAGCTCGGCCAGTAACGGCAGCAGTAGCGGAAGACCCCCCCCGACAAGGATGCATCTTACAGGATACGTTACGAGGTTTAGGGTGAATAAAAGTCGATGAGGTCGTAATTCCGTCGTAAGGAATAAAAACGAACTCGCGCGATTCCGAGCACGAATCGG